GGGGGGCCGCGGCGTGGGCTCGGGCAGGCAGATGGGCCGCACCAGGCGGCTGCGGCGCACGGGGCCCGCCAGCTCGAGCAGCGCCACGTCGTAGTCGAGCGTGTAGAGGTTGTAGAAGGGGTGCTTGTAGATGCGCGCCACGCGCTGCAGCTGCCCCCCGGCGACGCTCAGGAACGGCGTGCCCAGGAGGGCCGCCCACTGCTTGGGGTCCCCGTAGCTGCGGGCCGCGTGGGGACAGGTGTCGGCCGAGTGCCCCCGCCCCCGCCCGCCCGGTTGCTCCTCCGGAGCCGTCCCTTCCTCCTAGGACGGCGGGGAGGGGGCGGGGCGCCGCCTGCTCCCACGCACCGCCGCCTCCCCACGCGCTGTGTCTGGTGGCCGTAAGGTCGCGGCCCTACCTGCCCGCCCCCTCTGGCCCTGACCCCTAGCCTGGTCCACCCTACGGAGCGCCCTGCCAGGAAGGGGACTGCCACGTTGGGCCTGGTGCCAAGTCCCAGTGGGCTGAGCCAGGCAAGGAAGGGCCCCAAAGCTCCCCGGAGACTCCCCGCCGCGGGCCGGGCCCGGTGTTGGGAGCGGCTGTGGCCAGGGTTTGGTGGCGGTCAGCTCGCGGTGGTGGGTGAGCAGGGGAGGCGACGGCCTGGGGCAGGGGGTGCTGGTGGCTGGGGAGGGGTCCTTCCTGGCCAAGGCACGGAGGGGCGACCCTGAGCTTTCGCCCGCGAAGTCGGCCCAGTGAACCCCACGGGCCGGCGCGTTGGGGCGGCCGGACTCACACATCGAAGCAGTGCGCCGCCGACAGCAGCCACCTCTCGGCCACCAGGACGGCCCCGCAGCGGTGCTCCCGGCGCCGCAGCCACAGGCTCACCTGCCACGGCCACTCCCCGCGGCCCGCGGCGCTGCCGCCCACGATCCTGGTCATCGCTGCCACGGGTGCCAGGCCGCAGCCTGCGGGGGAGTGGGGGGCTGCTCAGCAGCTCAGCGGACAGACCCCGCCTCGCAGCCCCGCCTGCGCACCTAGGGTAGGAGGAGCGGCAGTGGGTTGGGGGACCTGGCTCTGTAAAGTCCTGGAAGAGACACTGGACCTGGCACTTGGTTCTGCAAGTGAGCCCTCTCTGGGCGCTTCTAGATAACATTTGGAACCCCTTCCTGGCTGAAGGTCAGGCCAGCACCTCCTCTCACCTCCCTGTCCAGCCCCAGGCATCTCTCAGGGTGCTAGGAGCCGAGTTCCCTGCTGCCCCAGGGCCTTTGCACACCCTAGGCTGCTGCCCAGTAGGCCCCTGCCCTGTCCCTGCAGCTCCAGCGCTGCCTGGTCTTCCTGGACGCCCTCCCCGGTTCTCCTTCCCAGGATGCTTCCTCCAGCTGTGACATCCCCCCCCCCCCGGCCCTCCCCACAACAAGATGTGCTCTCAGAACACAACTGCAGGAAGGACAAACCATGGTTTCCACGGGTGCCGCAGGAACCCGTCCCCACCTATGGGGGCGCACGGGGACCTGCCTGGTCATTCCCACAGGGAACCTTCCTCCTCCAGAACGGCCCCCCTTCCCCAGCCTGCTTTCCCACCCCCGGGCGCCTTGCCTGCCCTCCAGCCTCCTGCCCCAGCCTCAGCTGGAAGGGAAGAAGGGGGAGACGAGAGGCCACCCTCCCCGTTCCCTCTCAGTCCCGAGGACCCGGACCAGGAGGCCTGGGGAATCAGATGGAAACTGCTCTCTGGAAATGTCCCACACGGAACAGCGCGGCAAAGCGTGCCATGTCGGGGGGCTTCCTCACCTCTTCTGCGCCCCAAGCTAAGAACCTGCAGGCTGTAGCTGTCAGACTAGGAAGTCACCAGGGTGGGAGGCCAGATGCAGAGAAGCCAGCTGCAGACTTAAGGAGACATGCTCCCCCTCTCCGCGCATCGCTGCTGGAAACTCCCTACAGCCAGACCCGCAGCAGCTACTGCGAAGGGGAGCTGCCCCTTTGGCCGGGGACGGCGGTCTCCCGGAGATTAGTTTTCCAGGGCTCTGGACCGGACGCTCTGCGCCGGTCTCCACTTTGTGGTTCCCCAGGAAACAGGACCCGGGTCCCCCTCAGAGTCGAGACCTGTGCCCAGACCCTCGGCCTGTGGTCGGCTTTGCTCCTAGCCAATCGAGACGCTTCCTTCCAAGGTCCCCTACACCCCACCACGCGCCCAGACCCCACAGCGACCCGCTTCTTCCTCTGTTTGGTTCTGATGGCGCGCAGGCAGCCTCGAGGCAAGAGCCCATAAGCCTGACTTTGTGGGGACGGGTCTGTGCCCAGGCAACTCAGGATCCTGGGGCCAGGACTCCGTACACACGTGTGCAAGAGAAGAGGAAAAGAATAGCCCCGGGGACACATCCTAAAGGTTGGGATAGGCCAGAGGATTACAAGCACTTTCCCCCGACTTCTGTGTCACAGGGTTAGACCACACACATACCCTGAACACAAGGACAACAGGGACACTGATGGAGGAGGAAAGCAGGGAAAGGTCCCTGGATCAGAGTCTCTGGAGGGGAGTCGGTGAGGATGCTGGGGATGGGGACTCGGAACATCGGAATTCTGGGAAACTCATCAGTAAGAAGGAAAGTGGATGCAGCTACACAGACCAGCAGCCCCTTGTGCTGAGTGCCTGCCTCCTTTGGGGGAAGCTCCCAGAAGCTTGCTTGGTCCCTGCTGACCTGCCTCCCCACCTGAAGGAAGCCAGACCAGACACTGTCCCTCAGCATCTGGATGTGAGAGCGCAGAGCTCATGTCTGCTTGGGCGGGGGGGGGGTGCTGTGTGCACAGAGAGGCAGAGCCAAGAGGCTTCTGCTGGTGCCTTCCCCCTGCCCCCCCAGCCCCTGGTCCCCGCCTCACCTTTCTCTAGAGAGCCCTGTGTCTGTGGCAAAAACACTTCCTTCCCTCTGAGTTCTGCTCGGGTGACCATCCCACCCCTCAAAACCAAGGCCGGTGGGAGGAGTGGGCTGGTCGCTAAGACGGGTCCACCCACACAGCCCACGTCCCGCAGAAGCCAGGCCTGGTTCTCCCCTCAGTTTCCCTGCAGCCAGCGCCCACTGACAGGTCCCGGCTTGACCTATATGAAACCAGCTGTATTTGATGGGGCTTTATTTCGGACCTGCAAATACATGTTTCATACACTTCTGATTAATACTTAATAAAATGTAACCGAGCGCTTTAGAAGCGCTCAGAGACCTCCCAGGTGCCGTGCCCGTCAGCATCCTGCAGCCTGTTCCAGGGCGTCCCCTGGGGCCCCGCGCGGGAGCCTGTGGGGTCGGCTTGGTCTCCTCACTCCTGCTTGCCATCTTACTGAGTGTCTGGTTCCCCACTGCACCCCAGGCTTAGCATGGGCCCGCACACAGGAGGGTGAACACTGGTTGCATGGACAGAGCAGTGGGGACCCTCCCGTCAGGGCTGCCTGACCAGAGCCTGTGTCCCCGGCTTTCAGGACCTATCATGGGCTGACTCGTGTCCTCTCCAGGAGCTCAGGATGGACTTGGACACAGGTCTTTGAAGAGGTGATGAAGTTAGAACACGAGGACACACACACAGAGGGATGAGCCCGTGAGGACACGGGGAGAGGACAGCGTGTGTGCAGACTTCCGACCCCCAGCACCGGGAGAGAATAAATGTCTGCTGTTGTCACGGCGGACGCAGGACCCCCGCCACCCACACGTCCCTCCATCCCTCCTGCTACCTGGTGGCTGGAAGCCCACGGTGGTGCCAGGGGAGCTTGGAGGTGGCGTCTGTCCCCCCGCAGCTGTGCTCACGGTGGTGGCGGTCCTGCTGGCAGGTTGGCTGGTCGCCCTGCTGGTGGCCGGGAGGGTGGCTCTGCTGGCCAGGACCCCCGGGACCGTGGGGCCAGCCGCCGTCCTGGAGGAAGGCCTGGTGGCAGGCGGGGGTCCCGTGGTGGGCGGGGGAGGGCTGGGCGGGGGGCCCGAGGACATGGTGTCCAGGATCCAGCCCTTCAGCCTGGTGACGCGAGTGTACACGCCGGGCCTCCTGGCCTGAGCACAGCCGACCCCCCAGCTCACGATCCCCGCCAGGTAAAACACCCCGGGGGCCTCCTCGCAGGCCAGGGGTCCGCCAGAGTCGCCCTGCAAGTGAAGGGAGGGGGATGTGAGTCAGACCACCGCCATGCTGCCCCTGGCGCGGACACAGTGACGGACGTCGGTTCTCTCTCGGTACAACGGGGAAACCCACGGAAGAGCTCGCTGTGCCCTCTCCACACGGGGCCGCGTCAGCGCAGCGGGGGCCTCAGGAGACCTGGCTTCAGGCCCACGCCCGGCTCTGTGACCTTGTGTGACCCTGATTGAGTCACTTCTCTCTGAGCTTCAGTTGTTCTTGCTTTTGTTTTGAAGATGTAAAAAAAATGCAGAAAACTCTAAGTAAAACAATAACCATCACAGATACTCTCACGGCTCATTAGCCGCCAACCCTTTTCCTTAGGTTTCAAAGGAATCACACCAGCGACCCAGGGCTTTTCTTTAAGAATCTGGAATCTTACAACAAAGCTGAGGCTACACAGCAGATTGTTTTTCCCAAAGATGGCAGGAGTCTCTCTCCCTCGGCCCACCTGCTCTTGGAACACCGAGACCTTGGCCCTCCTCCCATGGGGCGCTGGGGGGGGGGTCGGACTGCGGGGACAGTGATGCCAGGTGACTTCCAAAGCAAGGTCATGCAAGTGCCATTTGCTTCCAGCTTGCTCCGCGTTTTGAGGGGGCCGAAATGAGCTCGGGCGGAGCCCCCGTGAGGAGGCCACGTGGAGGGTGCGGCTGAGACCCCAGCCCACGGCCAATGCCAGCCATGAGAGGAGAAACGCCTTCAGATGCTTCTGGCACACCAGCCTCTGAACCGTCCCAGCTGAGGCCACCGTGCGTGGAACACACACACACCGGCCCCGCTGGGCCCACGGCAGCTTCCAACCCACGGGACCCGGGACGGAAGTGAAACGGCTGCCTCAGGCCACCAAGCTTCGGGGCGTTCTGTTACGCGGCCACAGGGACTGACACAGCCCTGCCGCTGGTCCCGGTGCCCCACCGCCCCAGGGGCGGACAATTTAGGAGTTTGGGGTGTGTCCCGCTATGCTTTTATGTGAATCTGTAATTTTAGAAAGTATGCAGTGTTATCTGTAAAATTTATAGAAATAGGTTACATGTAACCTTTTGCAACTTGCTGTGGTCAACAGTTTCAAGATACCACATTAACTATTACAAATTTATCAGTTATCTACAGAATAACAGATAAAATCTATATTATGTAACTTATTTGATATAAAAGTAAACAGAGAAGATCCTCTGCAGGGCACCGTTCTTGCCGCCGCCGTCCTAGGAGATGGGTATGACTATGAGCCCGTTTTACAGACGGGCCTCAGAGGCCCAGGGACGTGGAGTCGCCTGCCTGGGGTCGCAGAGCAGGAGGGCAGCCATTTACCCCGTTTCTTTCCGCTGCTGCCCATGGATGCGCATTTATGCTGTCATGGGTATTCTGGTATTAGCAGTGCCTCTGGGGGTTACGACTGAAGTCGGCCGCCACAGGGGCCCCGGCGCTTCCTGGGGCCGACTCACTGTGGGCACCGTGGGCATCGTGTGTCTTCCTCGCGGCTCCCGTCAGGCGCTCCCTCCCCACGGTCTTGCCTCCCCCTTCACCACCCGAGCGAGCGCCCTCCCTCTGGAAGCTGAGGTCCCCGACTCCGCTGCGGGGGCTCTTGTCTTGTCCCTAGGCATCCATGCGTGTTTTTGTTCTACTGTCTGGAAGACTTCATCGTCAGCTCCTGAGCGCTCCCTCTCCCCGCCCCTGGAAAATCCCCTCCGGCGTCCCACTCCTCTTGTGGACGCAGCAATCCGGGCATCTCTGAGGTTGGTAACGGCAGACGTGGAGGAAGTTTCCTTTGGTTCCGTGTGTCGCTTCTGTTTCCTGGTCTCCTTTTTTGTTGGCTGTCTGGGTTCTGTTCCTACTGCTGGTTTTATCGATTTGCAGGACAGAATGCATTTTCCCAAGGCCACGGCACGCCCACCTGCCGGCTCACGGGACTCTGGTGGTCCTCCCCGTGGATGCAAGCAGGCTGGCGGCCTCGCAGGCGTCACTGGATGTGACTTCCAAGGCGAGGTCACACGACCCAGCTTCTGCCCGTTCTCTTGGGACGCTCGCACTTGGAAGCCAGGGCCAGGTCGTGAGGAAGCCCCGGGGTCCACAGCCTCCAGCGAAGCCCCGCCGTGTGAGTGCGCCGCCTGGAAGGTGGATCCTCCAGGCCCCACTTGTGTCCCCCGAGCTACTGCTGGGACAGCAGATAACCCCTGGGCCCTTACAAGTGCCGACTCACGAGCCCGATACACCACTGTTGTTTCAGCTCACTAAGCTTTGGGCTGATTGTTTACGCAAAAATAGGAGTTACTGACACTTTCTATCTTATTTTGGGTTCTTTTATTTTGTTCCTGGGAGTATACACATCCCCCCGATTCTTCTTTATCAGAATTATCCTGCCTTGTCATGTGCCATTACTTTGCTCTTTTGCATGAATTTTAAAACCAGCTTGCCAAGTCCTATGGCAAACGCCACTGGAATTTTGCCTGGAATTGCACTGACTTACAGAAAAAAATGGGGAGAAACGGATCTTCATAACATCGAGTCTTCCCACCAAACAATACAGTGTATTTTTCCGTTTATTCAGACCTTTTTATTTTCTTCAGAGTTTAGTGATTTTCTCCATGAAAACCTTGATCATCTTTTAGAGTTTACTTCTGGACACCAGTCAGTGGGATCCCTTTCTCAAGGATGTTGACTTCGGCTGGAAAAAGAAACGTTCTTGACCTTGTATGACGCTCTCGTGTGAAGCCATGCTGTCGCACTCTCAGGAGTCGTCTTCGTCTCTCCCTTGGTTCCGTGTGTTTCTTTTTTTTAAGATGGGTGTTTTGTTTTTTTTTTAAGATTTTATGCGAGAGAGAGAATGAGAGACAGAGAGCACGAGAGGGAGAGGGCAGAGGGGGAAGCAGACCCCTCGCCGAGCAGGGAGCCCGATGTGGGACTCGATCTCGGGACTCCAGGATCATGACCTGAGCCGAAGGCAGTCGCTTAACCGACTGAGCCACCCAGGCGCCCGGTTCCGTGTGTTTCTAGTTTGTTTATTTTCTTCTTCTCTGGTAGCCAGTTATGTTACTGCAGATTACATTTTTATCTACTTTACAAATCCCATACCTCCTTTCTTTTTTCTTGACTTTCTGTATTAATCTAGACACACTTGGCAACAGCAGGAAGCCTTGTGTTTGACGGAAAGCTTCTGTTTCGCCACCAAGCATGATGTCTGCTGCAGGTTTCTGTTGTCCAGCTCTCATAGGGCTACAATTTTTTAAAATGTAATTACAAATGGTTGTTAAAAATTATCAAATGCCAAGACACCGGTTGAACCTCCGACTCTTGGTTTCAGCTCAGGTCAGGATCTCAGCACAGAGTCTGCTTGAGATTCTCCCTCTGCATCCCAGCTCTCTCTCTCTCAAATAAATAAACCTTTAAAAAAATTATCAAATGCCTTTTTCTGTGGTTTTGGAGATGATGCCTTCTCCTCTTCGATCCACTGATGTGATGACTGGTGGTACAGGCTTCTCCTGTTTCGGACCAGCCTTCTTAGGAAACCAACCCACTGTGGTTGATTTTTTTTTTACTGTTAACACATTCCTAGAGTTAATCCGCCAACATTTATTGAGGGTTTTGCATTGATGTTTCTAAGACTGATCTATAGCTCTCTCCGCCCGTGGATTTCTCCGGCTCTCACAGCTCTGGAGCCAGGTGTTCCCTAAGATGGGCCCACGGCTCAGGTGCTTGCCGGCCGCCCTGCGGGACGAGGGCCGTCACACGCGCCACAGCCTGTGATCAGCTCTTCCTCCAGTGAACACAGGTGCACGTCTTCCTAAATCGGTGTGACTATGCTTTGTGTGCGTCCACCACACACTTCTGAGCTGCCCCCTCATCTTCTTGGAAAGAACATTTCTCTAAACCAACGTTTAAAGACGCCTGGGTTCTCTCCAGGCTTCCCGGTTCACTGTGTCGTATTGACGATTCTTCCCCTTCTGTCTCTGCGCACCCGCTGAGCGCTTCGGAAACCTAGATCCGAACAAGGAGGAGCGGACCGGCCGTGTGGGAGGGTGTGGGCACCTGGTCTGACGCTCACCTGGCAGGAGTCGACCTTGCCCTCCAGGAAGCCGGCGCACAGCATCCGGTCCGTGAGGGAGAAGTTGTAGAGGGCGCTGCAGGCCTTCTGGTCTATGATGCCCACGGACGCTCTCTGTAGAATGTCAGGCTTGGTGGCTGCGAGGAGACCCCCCACGACATGGGTTCAGCTGCGCAGGAACCCTGAGACGGAGGCGCCACCCCCACCCACAGACGAAGAACCTGAGTCCCACAGGGTTGCAGGGATTTGCGTCAAGTCACATAGTGAGAAGGTGACCCCAGGTGCCTACTCAGCCTGAGACTCTCACCACCGTCCGCCCGCAGACTCCCTAGAGCCGTGGGGGGCCTGCAGGAGGCCACTCTGAGGCTCAAAGGCTAGCATGAACTCTGGGGGCTCAGACGGGCACAAGTGTCTCCAAACTTTCTCTACAAAGAGCCACAGAGCACACGCCCTTGCAGCATGAAAGCCCCGGGGACGGGCTGTAAACTGAACGGGCGGGGCCGTGGGCCAACGAAACTCGAAAGTGCAGCCACGCTGGGCCCGTGGGCGGGAGTCTGCGAGCCCGGAGGAGCGGAGAGGTGGTGGACCGGAGGCCCCGGCCGGGAGCTCACCGTTGCCCTCCTGCGTGTTACCCCATCCGGAGATCATGCACTTGCGGCCCACGGGGAACTTCTGGATGGCCAGGGGCAGGCACACGGGCTGGATGAACATGCTGAAACCCAGGGGCCTGGCCAGCTCCAGGACGGCCACGTCGAAGTCCAGGACATCGGGGTCATACTGGGGGTGTAGCACCAGCCTCCTGAGCGCCACCTTCACCGGGTTTCCGCCAACGCCCGCGAGGGACACGGAGCCCAGGTGGGCCCGCACCAGCTCCACCTTCGTGCTGCCGACAAGGGGCCCCTCAGACGCCCGTCGGCACCCCTGCGGCCCCCAGGCAGCCGGGCGGGGCCCCCCGCTCTGGGGAGGGGTGCCAGGAGGACAGAGGGGCCGCAGGGCTGCCCCCCAGTAGCGGTCCAGGCTGGAGGGCAGGCGCAAGGCAGGGAGCCCTTTGGGCTTCCTTCCCTTCGTCTGTAGCAAGAGTGAGCAGCCCTGGTGCTTTAGGGTGCTGCCGCTCTTGGAGCCCAGGGGAAGGAGCCCTCGTCCCCTCCTCCAGTTAGGCCCTCTCTGTCCCCAAAGGCCGGTTCCGCAGACTCCTCCTCCCAAGGGCTGCGGCCCAGGCCGGGGCCCCCAGAACCCCTACTTCTCCTGCCTGCTCCCTCCCTGGTTTGCGGCTGGACATTCAGACCCCCTTCCTCAAGCCCAGGGGCCACCCCTGCGCACAGTGGCGGGATTGCTGGGGGCACCTGGTGATGGGCGGCGGGCCTTACTGGTTGAAGCAGTGGGCAGCCGACAGCAGCCAGCGGTCGCCCACCAGGGTCGCACCGCAGAAGTGCCGGGAACCTTCCTTCAGGCTGACCTGCCAGGGCACCTCCCCAGAGGCGGCTCCCAGCCCGCCCACGATCCGCGTGGGCTTCTCCATGGCGGGCCTGGCCCCACACTCTGTGAGGAGCGAGAGAGGAGGGTCCTGGCATTGCAGCCTGCCCGCAGCAGGAGCACCGTGATCCCCGTTATTCGGATGAAGAAACTGAGGCCGGACGTGGTGCGGCGGGGGCAGGTGGGTTCAAAAGGAGATGGAGTCCTAGAGCGCCCTGGCTCCACAGACCCGCGGCCCGTGCGGTCAGGCGGAGGGGCTCGCTGCAAGGAGGGGGCGCACACAGGAGGACCTGTGGGAACCAGGGCACTACGGGACTTGGGGACAGGGAGGGGGTAGCTGACATTTAAATGAAGCAGGGTTCCAACAGGCTCAGCATCGCGGGTCTAGGGGACCATGGAGGAGGACTGGCATCCGATCTGGGTCCTTGGAGACCACAGAAGACAGACAGACAGACATAGACCGCTGTGTCCAGAAAACCCATCTCTGCGGCTCGGCCCCAGGTTGTAATTAAGGCAGCTCCCCGGGGCCGAAGACACGGAGGTGCTCCGGGCAAGAGTGTGTGTGTGTGACTGCCACTGAACGTTCCTGGAAGATTTCACGGAAGAGCTTGCAGTGGGGAAGAAAGCAGGAGGGGTCACCGCGATGCCCCGCGGAGCGTCCTCAGGGGAGGGGGCGACCGGCAAACCTTACCACTGGCTTCGCCCAGGTCTGCTCTCTTTATGGAACAACTCGCGGGAGGCAACTCTGTAAGCCGTCCGGCTGCAAACTATTTGAGAATACAACAGAAATCTCCCGTCTACCCTGACACCGCCACAGTTAACAAGGACCGGGCCAGCTCATGCGAGCAAACAGCCCATAAAGAGATGCACAAGACAGACAGACGCACCCCGTCCCTGCACGGGAAGATCCACGTTGTGGAGACGGGAAGACACAGATTCTCCCTAAGCCGAGCTGTAACTCTAATTGTGTAAAACCGGGAACACGGAGGAGAAAGAAGCCAATCACAAAAGGACCGATGTGACTCGGCTCCTGGGAGGGAGCGGACAGCCGGTCACAGACATGGAGACGGCCGAGGGCTGGGGGGAGGCGGGGTGAACTGGTGTGTAGTGGGCACAGAGCCTCAGGTTTGCAAGATGGAAAGTTCTGGAGACTCGTTGCACAAGGTGAACATAACGCTACTGACCTGGACACGCAAGAAAGTTTAGGATGGCCCATTTTATGTGTTTGACATGGCAATTAAAAATAAAATTAAAATTAAAAAACCAGATAAGCTGATCTTGCTCTTCTCATGGAAAAGGAAGCATGCAAGTGTGTGCAGGAAAATTTGAAAAACAAAAAAGGAAGAAACGCAGGTTCTCGGATATAAGTCATCTGTGTGTGTACATTTATGTGTGGGGTGTGTCTGGAAGGACCCCTGAGTGGGACAGCTCAAAGTCACCAGCCCCCAGCTCACCCGTGAGGACATTCCATGTAGAGCCCATGCGCGGCCCGACCCGGCCGCACAGTCTGACGGATGCCGGTCCGCCTTCGCCTGTGCTCACGGCAGACATTACTAGCCCATCGCCCATCTGTTCCCCAGTACCGATCAATCCAACCCTGCAGGGAGTGAACATCTACGCCCGCCTGTGCCCCCAGCAAATACCTTGTGGCTTCGAGGCTGTCCCTGAGTCAGGAGGCGCTGTGCTGGGGCCCCGCGTGGGTCTGGCGGGGGTGTGGACCACCGGGCTCTCGGGACTGGTGGGCCGGGCAGTGCTGTGGCTGGCGGAGGCGGGAGCCACGGTGGGGGCCAGAGGCTTGCTCACCATGGTGATGGCCTCCAGGATCCAGTCCCGCAGCCTGGTCACGCGGGCATAGACCCCGGGACGCCGGGCTTCCGCACAGCCAATACCCCAGCTCACGATGCCGGCCAGGAAGAACCTGCCGGAGGGCTCCTCGCAGACCAGGGGGCCTCCTGAGTCACCCTAGGAGACAAAGGCCCGCCTTCAGAGCATCGGGGCTCCGGCCGCAGCCAGCCCCAATCCCAGAGCTGCAGAGTCAGAGAAGGAGCCCCACCAGGGACTTCTGAGACCTGTCCGCCCATGAGCTCACGGAGCAGAGGCGGGCCAACAGTCCACATCTCAGAACCCGCTTTCTCTTCTGTAAAAAGTCAATGGGAGGGGCGCCTGGGTGGCTCAGATGGTTAAGCGTCTGCCTTCGGCTCAGGTCATGATCCCAGGGTCCTGGGATCGAGTCCCGCATCGGGCTCCCTGCT